CTATGTGCTATCTTTTTGTGATTCATTTACCATAATATCCATATCCCTCTGAACTGCAAAATTCTTCAATCTCTCCCTATTCAAATAATATGCTGCTTTTCTATTCTTCTTGCCAAATTCGACAAGTTCACATTTTCCCACAGTATACACTGCCAGATGTTTGCCTGCTTACTTAACCTATGTGTATACCTTTGCAAGGTTCTTCTGTCCTCCTCAGAATTTACTTTCCTACTTGTTTTTATGTCACCAGCCAAATTAGCAACCATACAGTCAGTCCATTCATCAAATTCATTGAGACAAATTGTAAATAATTGAAGCTTATTGTTGATCCCTGTGGCACACAACTCACCACATCCTGTCAACTCATTTATGGCTACCCTGTGTTCCTTTTGGCTAACTGATTCTTTATCCATCCTAATATGTTACCTTACACCATGAGACCTTATTTTGTATTGTAACCTTTATTGTATCTTGTGGAATGCCTGCTGGAAATCCAAGTACAGCACATCTACAGGCTCCCCTTTATCCACATTGCTTGCAATTTGTCTGTCTCAAGCTCGAGCCATAAAGAAGGAAGGATGTCTCAATTCTGGGAATCTCCACCAGCAACTCAGAAATCAGCTACTTCACTCTTCAGTAATTGAGGGAATACCAAGAAGAAGCACACACCTAGGGATAAGAACATCATACTTCGTACCCTGACAAGAAGGACCCAGATTTTTAAAAAAACACAGAAACATGTGGTGCATTTTTGTACACATTGTGGTAGCAGTAAATTTGTGTGCATTGTCATTGTTTGGGGAAAGGTTTTTGAAGATTTTTTATGTGAAGTGATGAACAGGAATTGAGATTTTTGACAAGGAGATGGAACATAGGTGACCACACTGCAGTAGAATGACGCAGAAAGAAGAGATACCTGTTACTATGTAGTGTATTTTACATTCTCAACTGAACTAATGTACAAACCTGGGTCTTGCAGTAAAGATGAATTGTACGTAATATCTGCCAAAGGTAAGGAAGCATGTCATTCTTGATTCTGCGTCAGATGGTTATTGGTTCATGTCCCTTTCCAGAGATTTAAGCATGTAAGGTAGGCTTCAGTGTGGTGCTAAGGGAGTGATGCACTGTTGGTGTGCCATATTTTGTGTAAAGCATTGAATCATGGCCTCAACTGACCTCTCAGGTTGGGATAAAATATCCTTGAACCACTATTTGGGAGAGACCAGAAGAGTTCCGCTGAGTGTCTCAGCCAAGTTTTCTTTGTCCACCAACATCACTGTACACACTGTATATGGTAATTGCCACCTTGCTTTATGTTGATTAGCTGGTGTGCTTCCCTATTTACATCAATGACTACATTTTCACGGCTAAAGAAAGATGAATTTGTATATAATGTGCAGCTTGGGTAAAAAGAGATTTACTTTGTGTATAATGTGGAATTGGATACGGATGGGTATGGTGTGGGCTGCTCAGTCATGTAATTTGTGTGTAATTGTTTTGCAAATTATGCAATATTATTGGAGTTTCCTGGAAAAGGAATGGTTGGAGATTGAGTTGGAGTCATCGTTGAGGCACTGCAGTGAAAGAAAGTCTGTCTACACCAAATTTCCAGCATTCCATTGCAATTCCAGTGCTTATACTTCTTTTAACTGGAATACAGATCCAAGTTCAAGTGCTCTAATCTGGGTTAATAAATCAAATGCTTATTCACACTGAAGATTCAGTTTAAGAAAAATGAGCATTTAACTGTGATGTTAAAAAGAGAAACCCATTGTGGAGAATGTTTTCTCCTCTGTAACATAAACATCTTCTTGCTTTAAAAGGAGTTTCTCCTCATCATTGCAGGAGATGCTCAAAGATAAAGCTGGCAATGTAATAACAGGCTCTGAAAACAACGTACAACCACTCCTTTGGAGAATGCAACCAACAGCTGAGGCGTAATATAAAACGTTAGGTAATAGCCACACATTTTTTGGTCATATTTGATTTGCATTCTGCCTGCTTTTCTCTGCGTATTTTCCTTTTTATTCTTTGGTGTAAAAGGAGCTTAACCATATTCTGAGCAAATTGAAAGACCAACACCTCAAAAACTCAACTCTTGTAAAATTGCTCCATGTCTCTGGCAAAACTGTATCAGAAGAGTCCGAAGTTAATCTTGAATCCAGAAAAGCCACCTAGCCTGACAATAGGTTTCCGTGGGCCCTTGTAAATAGCAGCAAGTGCATGCGCTCCTGAATAGGCAATTGGTACAGGAGAGTTGGACCGGGCATTGTGGCCAACCATTTTCTACATTTGTAGTACTCCGCATTTGGTGATACATGTTAGGATCAGACCGCCAGAGAATGCATGTAGATGTTATCTGAGGGTTCAGGCTCAGGGCCTGGAATCCAAGAGTTCCAAAGTTTAATTGTTCTGACACCTCATAAACAAGGTAATGGAGTGTACATCCTTTGCATTTTGGGGACCAAGTAGCAGCAGGAGCAGACTAGTCTGCAGTTGAGTAAGATCACAGCTAATTTCTATCTCAATTCCATCTTCAAATTAAGGTGCTGTGCTTCTTTCTGCTTCCTGCTCCCTGTTTACTGTACTCACTATGTACTAACTTCACATAACATGAAATGTCATTAATCAGCAAAAGTGCCCTTTCACCAGCAATAGTAACTTTCAGTTTATTTGCTTGTTTCTCATCTTAGGCTACTGTTTAACTTGTGGGTTCATTTTTGTGTTTGGTTTTGATTCATGAAAGTCTGCTTTGTTTGTATAGGTAAGGATGTTCCTGGTTTTGCATTGTTGTTGTTGGCTCCCTCAGAAATAGTTTGGCGACAATCATACATAATCTTATGGTTGCAGGGAGGGATTCAGCAAGACAGGCAGTAAAAAGCAAATGGGGTGGGAATGTGGGTATGGCAGGGGCAGGGGCAAATGCATTGAACAGCTGTCTTCACCAGTAACATATCTTCAGAGAGGATTTCTCCTTCACTAAGCACATTGCCCCAGTCCTAGATATAATCTCAAATTCCATCCTGTGCTAGTGCTCTGTGTCACTTTTATTCAAATCAGACCTCCAGATTAAGACCTGACTATTGGGAGACAAAATATATAGTCTATGGATGTGGCTCTTGACTCCTGTCAGAAACCTGGACACAGGAACAGATCAGGCCCACACCGAAAGCCAAGCTGCCAGGAACATCATCGAGTAAGCAATCAGTGTGCTCAGCAATGATTCCTCTGCCTGTACCATCTGGGGGAGCTTTGCAACACACCCTTGAATGGGTTGCCAGATTTGTTGTCACTTGCTACTTGATCTACAGTTTTGCCACTATAATGGACCAGCCCTTACTGCCATTTGAATATCAAGAAATACAGAGGACGAGAGGGAGGAGAGGCAGTAGCCACCAGTGTCTCTACCTGCTAGAGCTTCCAGAGACCAGTTCATCAAGGAGCATTTCAATTAAATTACCCTGCTGTTCCCTACCACACCCATTGTCCCAGAATTTAGCATCCTCCAGTCTCTCCTTCCCTCACACTTCCATAATGTTCAGTTCCCCAAACTACCTATAATCTACCTGTCTCCTATACTCCCACAGTCTGCCTTTCCTAATATGCCAACAATCTCCCTTCCTCATTAGCCCCACAATCCCAGAATCACAGATTTGTTCAAGTGTGGCAGAAGGCTATTCATCCCATGTTATCTGCACAAACATTCTGATTAAGCACTTTTATCATTTTCCTGCTAGCTGCCTGTAACCCTGCGCATTCTTCCTTTTCAGCTAACAGTTTAATTCTCTTTGAAGGCATCAATTGACTCTACCTGCACACTTCAGACCTTAACCATTCACTATGTGAAGAAATTTTCCTCATGTCACTTTTGCTTCTTCTGCCAATCACTTTAAATTGTACCCTGTCATTCTAATTCTTTTCTAATTAGGAACAATTTCTCTCTATTTAGTCTGTCCATACCCTTCATAATTCTGAATACCTCTAGCAGATCTCCTCTCATTCTTCTTTGCAGAAGTTACGACTGTTTATGTTGCAGAAATCTATCTTGACAACTGCATCGCCTCATCACAAAAAGCATTCTCGTGAATCTTTTTTAAATTCTCTCTAATACTTTCACATCCTTCAGAAAGCATGGTGCCAAGAACTGGACACAGAATAGTGTGTAATATATATGTTTAACATCACCTGCGTGATTTTATATTCAATACCCCTATTAATGGAACCCAGGATACTAAATGCTTTATTAACCATCCTTTCAATCCATCTGGCAACCTTAAATGGCTTAAGCATGCACACACTAAGGTCCCTCTGTTCTTTAGAATTATCGTATATCATACCGTATTTTTTATATGGTGGTCTATGTTCTTCCAATTGTAATTAATCCCTTCATGTATCTATGTCCGTCCTCTGACCCTTCCGCCAACTTGTTTATGTCATTTTGAAGTTTGACACGGTCCTCTGAGTGCACAGTGCTTCCAAGTTTTGCATCATCTGCAAATTCTAAAACATTGCCATGTCCACCAAGGTCTATATAAATAAATATATGTACATATATTATATATATATGTGTGTGTGTGTATATATAATATATACATATATATATATATATATATATATGTAAGTAAAAGCAAGGACTCAAAACTGTCCCCTGGGGAATACCGCTTCTGATCTTGCTTCAACACTAAGCATTCGTTCATCCTCTTTGTTGCCTGTTACTCAGTAATTCCATATCCGTGTTGCTACTGCGTGTTTTATTCCATGAGCCATAACTTTACTCAACAGTCTGTTTTATGGCACTGTATCAACCAGTTCTTCTCCTTCTCTGTCTCTTCCCACAATCTTTCCTTCCCCGATCTCCCACTGTCTGCCTTTCCACAATACTCACAGTCTTGCATTCTCCATAGCACTCAAAATCCAATAGTCTATAATTGTGAATTGGATAATTTCCAACTGTAATTTTGTTTGTGATAAAGTTAATAACCGCTTTTGTTTGGTGGCAGGATATTCTTAGGCAGATCAAGAAGGATCGTGTATCAGAATTCAGCCCACTGGCTCCTCCTCAGAGTTCCACCTACACAAATAACATCTACCGGCGCCATCAACAAACAAAGTCTGTCTCTACTCCAGATTCCAGGAAGATGACACATACGTATTGGGCAGAGGATGATTATTATAATAACCCATCACTATTTGACTATTCTGGTAACCATTGTCCATCCGATGCTCGCTACATTTTTGTTCCATCAGGTTTGGAAACTACAGTCTAGCCTACAGAACTTTACATTTGAATCCTGTGGTTTTGAGTTTAATGACTCCAGTTTTCGAAAGATTGCTGTACTTAAAAACTTAAGAAATCTTTCTGGACTCCAACATTGCAAGTATCCATTGAGAACTTGAATAAGACTTCCTGCATTCTTCCTGGGCAGCGAGTCCCATGTGCTGAACTGAAAGTTAAGGCACAGTCTGGTACTGTGTGGCTGGTACTACTACATAACTTTACTGTATTCCTTATGATGCTGCTTTGTCATCTGGTAATACTAAAACTGTGTGACATCCAGTAAAGCGATCATCAAACTATTAGCAAGGCAGCATCGACAAAAGGAAAATCTGCCAGCAATCGATGTGTATACTGATGTTACTTTATATTCTGTTCCTTTAATAAAGCTTCCTACATTTAACTTTTAACTTTTAACTTAACATTTAACTTAACGGTTCATAAACAATACTTCAAAAGATATACTTCACTTTGTTTACCTATTGTAACTGGTTCACATCAATACCAGGTAAAATTTATAAATTTACTGGACCCTTGTGCAAACTTTAACCTGTCTGTTAGAACAGATTAACAGCATTGTGGCTTATTGCCCATTTCTACTAGAATTGAATAGGCCAGCACTGCACTCGGTAGCTAACATGCTGGCCAGGAGGCTTGTGAATTCGTGCAAACTGGACACTATCTAACTTGGACCTGAATATTCTATTTGTGTTGGCTTTCTATCAGGTTGAGCCTCTGTGGTAAGCAGAAACTTTTTTTGGGTGGGGAAGAAATAGGTATTATCAAACTTAAAGAAAAATCCATTAATCATACAAAGGTGGATGACAAGTCAGAAGTTAGGACAAAATATAAGAAGCAACAAAATTTAATTAAAAGATTAGGACGGGAAATATTAGAATGGGAGAAAACTAATGCAGATTGCCCTTATTAAAGGACTATACTGAACTATATAAGTTTTTACAAAATTAATGATAATTATCATGGTTATTATCTTCGAGCTACAGCTTTGGATTGTCAATAGGCTTTTTAAGGAACTGTTTCCAGGGTGACTTAGTCATAGACGCTAATAAGAATGTACACAGAAAACCAGAGATTTGTAGCAGCAATAGAGAGTGGAGATGGCTAATGCTAATGAGCTGACCCACAAATTTTTCCATCGCCTGCACAAAGCTAAGAATAGAAGGTGAGAGGATGAAATGAAGGCAAGCAGCTAGAGGTGAGAAGGTGCAGCTAGAAATGCCTCAGGATCTTTTTGTAAGGTCCAAAAGGGAGGTGTCAGGGTGTAAGTAATATCTGAAGGGCCGTGTGTTTCCATTGTCGCAAGGTGGGACATCTTCAGGCAGATTGCTAAAAGTTGCAACATAAAGCCATGGGTCACAAGGTTATAGAATCATAGAGATCTGCAGCACAGAAAAAGGCGCTTCGACACATCATGTCCAAATTCGTCAAAAACCACCACCACTTTAATTCTTAGCCCTAGCCTTGTACACATTGGCATTGTAAATGCACATTTAAATACTCTTTAAATATTATGGGAGCTTCTGAGTCTACCTCCCTTTACGGGTAGTGACTTCCAGATTTCCATCACTGCCTGAGTGAAAAAGATTTTCCTTGCATTTCTTCTAAACCTGTCCTTTACCACAAATATATGTCATTGATCCCTCCATTAAAGGAATATACCCTATCTATGCTCCTCACTATTTCATGCATCTTAATCCCCTCTAAACTCCCCTGCTCAAAGGCAAACAACCCCAGTCAATCTGTCTTCATTATTGAAACTCTCCAGCCCAGACTACATCCTGGTAAATCTCATCTGCATCGTCTGTGCTATCACATCTGTCCTATAATGTGAATTCCAGAACAGCACATAATACTCCAACTGTGGCCTAACCAACATTTTAGACAGTTCTAACGTAACCTCCCTGCTCTTAAACTCTGTCTCAGCTATTAAAAGCAAGTATACCATATGCCTTCTGAACCACTTACTACATCTGTTGTGATACCTCACACACACAGCAAGGTCCCTCTGATCCTTTGTGCTTTCCAGGATCTAACCATTCATCATGTATTCCTTTGCCTTGTTCTGCCCAAATGCATTACCTCACATATGTCCAAATTAAATTCCATTTGCCACTGATCAGCCCACCTGACCAGTCCCATCTATATCCTTTTTAACCTAATGCTATCCTCCTCACCACTTACCATTCTACCAATTTTTGTATCATCAGCAACCTTTCTGAGCAACCCTCCTACATTCAAACCTAAATCATTTATATAAACCCCAAACAGCAAGAGCCCTGACGCTGACCCCTGTGGGACCCCACTGGACAGAGACTCCTAGTTGGAAAATCACCCCTTGACCACCACCCTCTGCATCCTGCCACTCAGCCAATTGTTGTATCCATTTAATCAAATTTCCTTGGATGCCATGGACCTTTGCCTCCTATGTGACACTTAACCAAAAACCTTGCTAAAACCTAAGTTGACTTCATCAAAAGCATTGCTGTCATCTGCACAACTGGTAACCTGTTTGAAAAGTTCAGGCATGAGTGTCCCCTTAACAAAACCATGCTGACTGTTCTTGATTAATTCCTTAATTAACGTGGAGAATGCAGGTTAATGTAAAGAAAGGACATCTGACTGAGAGTAAACCAGACCAAGATGTTGCTCTGACTGGAGGTGTGAGGCCAAGTACAAACACTGAGTGTGGGCAAGTAAACATGTCACAGAAGAGTTACAGTGAATTCTTCAAAAGGGGATGGAACTTATTTCTCAAAGGAGGCAAGTAACCCTATAGTTATTTTTAGGTTATAGGGCCACTCAAACTCTTTGTTGTGTAAAGGCATGACATAGCTACTAAAGAGTGACATGAACATTAAGGTTAGTAGAAGATGATAGTGGCCAGTATATACACATACCTTTGTGTTGGGTGCACCTGGAATGTGACCTAATGCCTGTAAAGGTACCTATTGGGATTGTCCATAGCTTACCTTGAAATACAGTTGATGTATTCCTCGGGAATGGTTTGACAGGAGAGAAGGTAGTACCTTCTCCAGTAGTAACTACAGTAGGGAAGGTCAAGTGAAACTATGAAAATAGACCAATTACTAATAAAAACTTCCAGGAACTTTTCCTTCCTGTGTAGTGACCCAAGCATTGGCTAAATAATGTCTATCATCAGAAGGAAAAAAACAGATATTTGTCTATCTCACACTTTCTTTTGCATTTAGAGAATTCAAAGAAAATTTTCAATAAGTCTCCGCTAACTGAGGCTGAGCAAACTGATCCAGAGTTAAGTAAAATAGCACAATTTGCTCAAGCTGAAATTGAAGTTAAGGGAGTTCCAGAATTTCTTTCTTTCACTCATGTGGGTCAGCATTTATTGCTATTATGTGAAATATGGAACTCTGATAAGGCAGTGGAGACCTGTGGACAAAGCGTGCACCAGTTGGTAGTGTAACCTAAATATCATCAAGAGATATCAAGGATAGCCAATGAACTTCTTGCAGCAGAATATGCAGGAAATGGAAGAACCAGCATGCTTAAGTCAACATTTTTACTGGCTAGGTCTTCACAGGGAAGTGATGCAATTTTATGAAGCATGCTGTACATGCCAGTTTGTGGGAAAGCCATTGCATGCAATAAATCTGGCACATTTTGTCCCCATATTAGGGTATTGATGGATTATGTGGGATATGTAACAAAAACAACAACAGGACACCAGTATATTCTTACTCTCGGGGATACAGCTACTCAATTCCAAAATCCCATGTCCTTGAAAACAATGTAGTATTCATTACCAAGACAGTGACAGAGAAGCTGACCCAGTTCATCATTCAATATCGATTGCTGATAGATCAAGGTTCCAAATTTCATATCTGAACTTTTTCAATAGCTTATGTACAATCTTGGCATAACATAGTGAAAGAGTTAAGCATTCCTCCCATAAACACAAGGGACTTTAGGAAAGTACCACAAATCCATTGAAACGATATCAGGCCATATGGTCATGAGTATCTTCATGAGGCGATGGCCTAAAGGTATTATCACTGGACTATTAATCCAGAGACCCAGGTAATGTTCTGGGGACCTGGGTTCAAATCTGCCATGAACTTGAATTCAAGAAAAATCTGGAATTAAGAGTCAAATGATGACTGTGAATCCACTGCCAATTGTTTGGGGAGTAAAAAACCATTAGATTAACTAATGTCCTTTAGGGAAGGAAACTCTCATCGTGGTCTGGTCGATGTGTGGCTCCAGACCCACAGTGATGTGGTTGACTCTTAACTGCCCTCTGGGCAATTAGGGATGGGCTATAGAAAGGAGAGTTCAATGTTCCTTACAGGAGAGTTAAATGGAGTGGTAAATTATTTGATTAACACCCTAGATCGGCTGAAAAAACATCGGCTGTATTGCATCAATACATTGAAGTAATATTGTTGGAAGAAGAAGAAGCCAGTACAGTTGTAAGAGAATAGTGAGGATAAAGTAGATTGATAGGGTTGTTAGTGCTGGATTTATTACCAAAGTAGATTTGTTAAAGGAATACTGGCAAGCTCCTTTAATGTCCAGTGCTAAAGAAATATTGACCTTTGTTACATCAGTCAGTTTTTTTCCAATGCTGAGTGATGTCATTTAGATCAAAGATTGCTTCAGCTACTTTCCAAAAGCTGATGAATCAAGTAGTAGCCAATGGTCCTAATTGTGTAGGTTACCTAGATGATGCATTGATATAGTGACATATGAAAAGACCACTTGGAACAATTAGAAGCTTTGTTGGGGAAATAATTGGCTGACTTGGTGGTAAAGCTTGCCAAAAATAAATCTGCAAAGGTACCAGGAACCCATTTAGGGTTAACAATAAGCCAAGAACAAGTGCTGGCAAGAACAACAGAAGTACAAGTATTAGAGAGGTTCCTCACCCATAAAACTAAATGGGAATAAATAAGATTTGGGGGGATTTTTTGCTAACATTACAAGTTTGTACCAAGTTTCAGCACCATAGCTGCTCACCGATGGATTTGCTCCAAAGGAAAGCCAGGAAAGTGTCGTCAGGTGAGTGACAGGCATCCTTTCAGAAGCTGAAAGCCAATTTGATGAATGAAGGTTGCACCAAAATTCACAAAGTCCATCAATGTAACAGTTGTTGCTCGTGATCTGGGGTGTTTGGGCATAGAAAAGTCAATCGATACTTTTCCAAAAAGCGAAATTAACTGAAAAAGAGACACGGTTGTGTGGAAAAAAGAACCTTATGATTGCTACTGGTTCTTAAACATTTTGAATCATATGTTCACCACAGCTACAAAGACACTAGTATAGACATACCATAAACACCTAGTTTATGTGGAAAATTTTGAAACCCCAATGCTCAATTATTTCAATGCAGTTTGCCGTTGTAGCCTTAGCAATT